CCCTTGGTATGTGTGCGGGATTGGTTCCAGGACCCTTTGTAGACACAAAAATCTAATGATGCAGAAGTCCCTTGTATAATATAGGGTAGTATTTACATATAATTCACATCTACTTGTTTATTTAAATCATCTGTGGATTATTTATGCTACCTAATACAATGTAAATGCTTTGTAAATAGTTTTTTTTTTTTTTTTTTTTTTTTTCTAGACAGGCAGAGTGGACAGTGAGAGAGAGAGACAGAGAGAAAGGTCTTCCTTTGCCGTTGGTTCACCCTCCAATGGCCGCCGCTGCAGCCGGCGCACCGCGCTGATCCGATGGCAGGAGCCAGGATCCAGGTGCTTTTCCTGGTCTCCCATGGGGTGCAGGGCCCAAGCACCTGGGCCATCCTCCACTGCACTCCCTGGCCATAGCAGAGAGCTGGCCTGGAAGAGGGGCAACCGGGACAGAATCCGGCGCCCTGACCGGGACTAGAACCCGGCGTGCCGGCGCCGCAAGGTGGAGGATTAGCCTAGTGAGCCACGGCGCCGGCCCTGTAAATAGTTTTTGCACCGTACTCTTCAGGGATAATGACAAGAAAAAAATCTGTGCATGTTCAGCACAGATGCAATTTTTTTTCAGATTACTTTGGATCTGTGGTTAGTTGAATCCACAAATGTGGAACCTACAGATATTCAGAGCCGAAATAGATTGTTATCCTGCCTAATAAAAATCCAAGAACAATATCATAAGCCTGCAACAACTAACCATTATAGCAGAAAAACAAGTAACTAAAATGATATAACATTGTTGAACTAACACTTGGTAAAATTTGCATTCACAAAAGGCACCCCAATTTATGTGTACAATCTGATGAGTTTTTAAAAGATTTTTTGTACAATTCTTCCACTTACATTTATTCTTTTAAAAATAATTCTATTATTTATAATTTTAGATTAACATGTAATGCCTGTACATTTCATGAAGATAGTGCTCCAAATACAAAGGTAATTGAAAAGCTAGTCATCTGACTTAACTGTGCATTTTCATAATTTTGGGGAGGAAACCCAAAGCCCATAAGGAGAAATAATGAAATGGCAACATTTAATAGTTCTGCATAATAAAAGTTTTCCAAAAAAAAAAATTAAAAGATTTAGACTGTGAGACAGTACTAGCAAATGGCAAACTAAGTCATTAATAGCCAAGGAAAATAAGCAAAGGATATGATCATGTAACAAAAGAAATTCAAATGACTGACAGACATATGCAGATAACCAACTCCATCAGTATGCAAAGAAATGCAGTATTAAAATAGCATTTTTTACCCATAAAATGACTAATCATATTAGCAATGATTATTTTTGAGACAATACTCAGATTCTGCATGTCTTTTAAGAAGCCTTCTTCATAATTATCTTTTCAATCGTGTTTATATAGCAAATGGCAAAGACAAAAACAAGATTCCCTCTAAGGCATAGGGCAGTTTTGTTTTCTACACAGGAAAATAAACACAATGTCTCCCTGTAAGGCAAAGATCAGGCAGGTTTACTTGAGGCCCACTATAAAAGATTTAGGTTCCCTGAACTCAGGATTCTTCTTCAGTAACATCCCCTATTACAAGTGCTGGTGTCCTATGGTCCTTGCCACATCACCCTATGGAACTGGGGCTCTGACAATCAACACAAGAAGATGATACTTTAGCTACAGTTATTGCTGTGCTCTGTCGCTGATCAGGAGTTTTCCATCTTCTGGCAATATCCATTCTTGCAATAGGGTATAATCTGACACTTGACAATCTTTGGCAATAATATGGCAAAAGCAGCACTCTTATCAATTGAATATATTTACTCCTACAAACAACCTTTTCTGAAGAGCAATATGGTAGATCTCCCAACTTAAAATATACATATAAATTTTAACCCACCAATTCCACATCTCAAGTATGTACCCTAAGGAAATAAGCTTGCAAATACATACTCATACAGTAGTCCCCCTTAGCTATGGGAGACACATTCCAAGACCCCCATTGGATACTTTTACTTCTGAGAGTATGAAATCACTTATATAAAGTGTGTGTGTGGGTATGTGTGTGTGTGTTTACTTACATATTTTTTTTCCTTTTTACTTAAAGGAAGTATTTTACAACTTCCTTTAGCAAACATGAATTGCCAGAATTTGCAACCTTGCACTTTGGGGCCATTAAGTAAAATAAAAGTTACCTAAATGCAAGCCTTGTAACAGCTGACCTGATAACCAAGTCAGCTACCAAGTGATTACCAAGCAAGTACCATACCAACATTCCGTCTGCTTACATTGAGCAATGAGATGATTTGTGTCCCGTGTGGGGACAGCACAAGATTTTATCACATTACTCTGAATTCTGTATAATTCAAATTTATGAATTGTTTACTTATGGACTTTTTGGTTTAATATTTTTAGACCAAGATTGATTGCAAGTAACAAACCACAAAAAGTGAACCCATGGATGGGGGCAGGGGATATGGCACATACAAAAATGGTCTTATAGATTTATTTGTAATAGAAATAAATTTGGGAATTGGTTAAATAAATCCTGGGCCATTCCTGCAATGAAATACTAAAAAGACTTTTAAAAAGATGCTACATGCACAGCTATAGAGAGACATTCATCAATGAGGACTAAGTGGCAGCAACAGAAAATTATAAATGATACATCACCATTTATGAAACTAACGTAGACTTACATGTTTTTATATCTGGAAGGAGAGAAACAAATCATGAAAGAGTGATGATCTTTGTGGAACAGGGTTACTGAGTGGGTGAGCATACAACACTTTCATTTTCTCCTTTGGCTATCTGTTGCTTTTTATTTTTTAAAAAAAGTATTCGTTTATTTTATGATCTAGTAAGTTTTAAAGTGTTTATTACACGAAACTCGAAAATGCACATTTGATAGATTCAGTAAATACAAGACTAAGGGATCACTTTCCTAGGAATTTGTATCTCAGGACTGCTGAAGTCAGATACAGAATGTCCTGATTCACAACTGAAGTGGAAAGATACCACACTTTGGAAGGCAAAATGCAAAGTCAAAAGACATGCAGATTTTGAGGCAGGCTGTTTCTCTATACACAACTCAAGAAAAATGAGTAACAGACGGAATTAATTTAACAGCTGATGATTCAACTAACCCTGGCAAAGCCAGCTAAAAATATTAATGTCAATAGGTAAGAAATTTAAAGGGTCAGGATGGGGAGAGGGGAGAGGCAAGGCATAAACAAAAGGAATCAACTCGTCCCTACTGTTTATTCCAAAGACATTTTAGTGATGTCTACATTATCCTCGCCATTATTTGAACCACTACACGTTAAAACACATTATAAAGCTACAGGAGTAAGAGCTGCAGGGCATTATCACAAGGAAGTCAGTGATCACTGCACAACAGTTCAGAAAGAGTTCTCAAGCATATACAGGAATTAGGGCCTGTGATATATGAGCACATAGCACTGGGGCTAGGGATAGACTTCAACAAATGATGACGGGCCACTGGCTAACAAAACAAAAAATAGAGCCATAATTCCTGTCTCACAGCAATACAATACAAGAGCATTATTATAGCACTGGAAGAACTAGAACAGAAGAGGATGTTTATACACAATTCATGTGTCAGGAGTCCTTTCTAAAAATTAACTCCATGAAGATGAAGAATGTTGGCCCCAACAAAATAAGAGGATGAGGCAGTAACAACAACACTGCATAGAAGGAGCAGCTTCTGTCAACTGACCCTACTCATCCGTGGAAGTAACAGATGACCAGTTGAGGGTACTTTAAGATAGCACTGTGCAAAGTACTACAATTGCATTACTGCATCACTGCATTTAGTTAAAAAAAAAAAAAAAAAAAAAAACAGCAACCTTATATAGAGGTGGCCTCTGATTTTGAAGTCAGCAACAGAGGGAAGGGTATTAAAATTCAAGACTCAGAAAAGCCCAAATGTGGAGCAATTCTTTCTGAAGCAGTGCTCTGAAAGGAGTTCTGGAAAGACGGTAATACAGCGAACACTTGGAGTGCGCACTATAAGGCGATGTATGTTCCTACTGGGAAGACAAGTACACTGGCCCTTTTCACCCAAGAACTTACAAGTATGTGCTATGACGACTGATGCCTTGATATGTCCAGCAAGCTCACTACCCAACCAACAGGTGCAACATGTAGGACACAACAGAGAAGCTTGAGGCGAGCTTGAGGGGGAAAAAAAAGAATCTATATGCTGAACGTAAGCAGCCAGTGAACACAGGAAGCAGAAAACGCAACTTATGTCTTCCAACAGCCCAGAACACGCAGAGATCCCTGTACTTGGTGGTAGTGAGCCCTCCGGGGCATCCATCCAGCCGCGGTATTCCACCAACGCAACGACCTGATACAGGTTTCCATCATCATAACTTTCTAAGTATTTGCATATTTCAACTTATGGATGCATACCAACGTTTTGTGGCAATGAGCACTGGGAAACCAAAACCCCAAACCACCCCCACTTGCAAACACGTTGACAAGGAGACCAAGTGCATGGTCACCATCACCTTCTAGAGAGGTACCCCTACACACAGAAGCAGGCTGCAGCTGGGAATCTAGTACAATGCTGAGCAAAGATGACATGGGCCCAGGAAAGCAAAACCCATCAGAGGTCAGAGGGAAATCAAGGCAGCAGGCACAGGAGGGCAAGTAGCCGACAGGCGGCGGCCAGGCCGCCACTGCGCAGGGCGCGGTGGCCACAGTCCCCGCAGCGTAAACAACCTGTGCTGCGCGCACGCCCGCGCGCCCTTTAGCTACACCGGCGCAGAGCAGCAGCGCCCAAGGCACCTATGCAGTTTGAGGGTCCCCAGCAAACTCTGCCAGCACGGCCGCCCGGGCAGGAGCGGATGGTCGGGGCCTCCGCCCGGCGCCCAGGCTCCCCAAAGCCCGGCGCGCCGCCCGGGCCCCGCCCCAGGGCCGAAAAGAGGAAGCCAAAGACCCGCAGGAGGGGGAAGTAAAGGAAGGGCCGTACCCTGTAGGGTCCGGGAGAGGCGCGCGCCGCGGGCCTCAGCAGCGACCAGGCGGCGCGGAAAGGCCCTGGCGCGGGGGCGACTCCCAGACTCTGGAGCTGCGGCAACACAGCGGCGAGCCCGGCCCAGCGCGACCCGGAAGGAAGACGCGCAGGCTACGAGGAGGGGCGGGGAGGAGGCGGGGCCTGGGGAGGCGGAGCCCAGGGGAGACCGAGAGGCGGGACGGGGAGGAGGCCCCGGGGCCCCGGGAGGCGGGGCGCCGCGCCTGCCTGAGGTGCTCGGCGAGTCCGGACCGCCCGTGGGAGGAGTTTCCCGGCCTGGGGGTACCCTATAAATGGCCCAGCTCCTATGCAGAAGACGAGGGTTGCAGGTCCTCTGCCACAACAGTCCCTTTCGGGGCATCAGCCAGCCGCCATGTGTACTGCAGTGGTGCTAAGGGTTCAATCCAGAGTTTGCGGGCCCGATGATGCCTAGGTATGACAGCAGGTGCTGTTCCGCAGAGGAAGTGGAATACTTGTTATGGGCGCTCTGGAAGCATAATTCATCAAGTCTACAAACCTCTTCTTCCCCTCATACAAGTCTTTCCTGCAGGTTGATTTCCAGTCCAATATTTGGAATCCGAGACCACACGTCTCATGAAGAAGATGCTCCCGTGGTCTCCCTTAGTCATTTTGATTTATTTTCAGTAGATATCATATGATATTTATCTTGTTGGGCCGATTTCTATGAAGGTGGAAAAACATTTAATAATGAAATGTTGAACACATTATTTGCTGCTGTCTGATTATTCCTCAAGAGGCAAAATACTAAGGATATTTATGTGTAAGTTCTATATGTGAAAGAAACCAATGTATGATTTGTTGTAAGAAATACATATAAAAGTGGCTGCTTAAAAAATAAATTGAAGCTTAAACCACACACCCCCAGCCATGAATGTCACCACCAATTTCTTTTTTTTAACTTTTATTTAATGAATATAAATTTCCAAAGTACAGAATATTGATTACAATGGCTTCCCCCCCATAACGTCCCTCCAACCCGCCACCCTCCCCTTATCCACTCCCTCTCCCCTTCCATTCACATCAGGATTCATTTTCGATTCTCTTTATATACAGAAGATCAGTTTAGCATACATTAAGTAAAGATTTCAACAGTTTGCTCCCACACAGAAACACAAAGTGAAAAATACTGTTTGAGTACTAGTTATAGCATTCAATCTCAATGTACAGCACACTAAGGACAAAGATCCTACATGAGGAGTAAGTGCACAGTGACTCCTGTTGTTGACTTAACAAATTGACACTCTTGTTTATGGCATCAGTAATCACCCTAGGCTCTTGTCATGAGCTGCCAAGACTATGGAAGCCCCCTGAGTTCACTGACTCTGATCATATTTAGACAAGGCCATGGTCAAAGTGGAAGTTCTCTCCTCCCTTCAGAGAAAGGTACCTCCTTCTTTGATGACCCGTTCTTTCCATTGGGATCTCACTCATGGAGATCTTTCATTTAGGTTTTTTTTTTTCCCCCAGAGTGTCTTGGCTTTCCATGCCTGAAATACTCTCATGGGCATTTCAGCCGGATCCGCATGCCTTAAGGGCTGATTATGAGGCCAGAGTGCTGTTAGGACATTTGCCATTCTATGGGTCTGCTGTGTATCTCACTTCCCATGTTGGACCATTCTCTCCCTTTTTTATTCTATCAGCTAGTATTTGCAGACACTATTCTTGTTTATGTCACCACCAATTTCTGACTTGCTTCTAAAGAATAGAGTATTGGAAAGGAGAGAAAAGTAAATTTTGGAAAAGCATTACTCTGGCCATATGTGATAAGTCCGCAGTGTGTACCCTGATGTGGTGTGGTGAGAGGAACACTTTGTCTCTGCAGTATTCTTCCTCAAAACCCATAAACCCTGTCTAACCTTAAGAAAGCACCAGAAAACGCAGGTGTTCCACAGAACACCTGAAAACTTTCAGGTTAACGAAACAAAAGAAAAGGAGGAAAAACAAATTGCTCCTAGAGACAAGATGACTGAATATAACATGGTATTTTGAATGAGATCCTGGAACAGAAAAAGGACTTTAGTGAAATCAGAGTAAGAATATTTTAATTAATAGTAATGTACCAATATTAGTTGTAATAAATGTGCTATTGTAATTTAAGATGTTAATTCTTTCTATGAAGCCCACATCACCTTAATTCCTAAGCCGGAAAAAAATGCAGCATTGAAAGAAAATTACAGACCAATATCCCTGATGAACATAGATGCAAAAATCCTCAATAAAATTCTCGCCAATAGAATGCAACAACACATCAGAAAGATCATCCACCCAGACCAAGTGGGATTTATCCCTGGTATGCAGGGATGGTTCAATGTGCGCAAAACAATCAATGTGATATACCACATTAACAGACTGCAGAAGAAAAACCATATGATTATCTCAATAGACACAGAGAAAGCATTTGATAAAATACAACACCCTTTCATGATGAAAACTCTAAGCAAACTGGGTATGGAAGGAACATTCCTCAATACAATCAAAGCAATTTATGAAAAACCCAAGGCCAGCATCCCATTGAATGGGGAAAAGTTGGAAGCATTTCCACTGAGATCTGGTACCAGACAGGGATGCCCACTCTCACCACTGCTATTCAATATAGTTCTGGAAGCTTTAGCCAGAGCTATTAGGCAAGAAAAAGAAATTAAAGGGATACAAAAAAAATATGTTAACAGCAAGGGGAAACAGTACTGTCATTGCAACACTTCTAAATATCTAAAAATCTGTAAATCTGAATCTATTAGAAAACTAAGTGGATTCAAATAATTATTATTTTAAGATTTATTTAGTTATTTGAGAGGCAGGGTTACAGACAGAGAGAGGGAGAAACAGAGAGAGAGAGAGAGAGCTTCCATTTGCTGGTTCACTCCCCAAATGGCCGCAATGGCCAGAGCTGGGCTGATCCAAAACCAAGAGCCAGGAGCTTCTTCCAGGTCTCCTGCATGGGTACAGGAGTCCAAGCACTTGAGCCATCTTCTACTGCTTTCTCAGGCTATTAGCAGAGAGCTGGATTGGAAGTGGAGCAGTTGGGACTAGAACTCGTGCCTATAGGAGATACCAGCACCACAACTGGAGGCTTAACCTACTACACCACAGCACCGGCTCCTCAAATAATAATTTTTTTGTTAAATATTTTATTTATTTAGAGAGGTAGAGCTACAGATATGGAGAGACAGAGAGGTCTTCCATCCACTGGTTCACTCCCCAAAGGGCCGCAGCTGCCAGAGCTGAGCTGATCCGAAGCCAGGAGCCAGGTGCTTTTTCTGGGTTTCCCATGTGTGTGCAGAGGCCCAAGCACTTGGGCCATCTTCCACTGCTCTCCTAGGCCATAGCAGAGAGCTGGATCTGAAGAGGAGCAGCCAGGACTTGAACTGGTGCCTATATGGGATGCTGGCACTGCAGGCAGAGGCTTTAGCCCACTACACCACTGTGCCACTCCAATAATTTATTAAAAGTAAATAAAACTTACACACAATAGCCAGGGCTGAGCCAGGCTGAAGCCAGGAGCTCAGAACTCAATGCAGGTTTCCTATATGAGTGGCAAGGACCCAAGCACTTGAGCCATCACCCACTGCGCCCCAAAGTGCACACTGGCATAAACTAGAAATAGTAGCACAGCCGGACTTGAACCCAGGCACCATGATATGGAATGTAGGCATCCCAAGCAGCATCTTAACTACTCTGCCCAACACCTACCCCAACATAATCTCTAGAGTAACCTTTTCATTGAAATAATAAATATATTCAGGAAAGGACACAAAATGTGAGTTAGAGTTTGACGAAAAGTGAACACAAACATGTATTCTCCAGAGATAAAAAAAAATTACTAGTACTCAGAAGCATCTCCTAAATTCTTCCCCTTACTGCTCCATAAAGGCATCCATTATCCTGACTTCTAACCCAGAGACTAGTTTTGCCATGTTTTAACCCTTAGGTGGATGGAATCATACATCATACCCTTGTTTGAGTCTGGCTTCTTTCTCTCAACATTAGGTTTGAGTTGTTCATGTGGGTGAGTATGGAGATAGTTTCTTGAGTTGCTATTGTAAAATAATACTTCAAAAATTCTATGGAAGGTAGATTTGAATAATAAGCTTATTTGGTGCAAAGATATTGAAATTCAATACATAGTTTTTTTTGTAGTATGCGGTTTCCATTAACTTTTTGAAATACCCTTGTATACATATACTGTAGTTTATTTTTTCAACTTTCTCTTAATGGATGCTGAGCTGTTTTTAGTTTTGATTGCTGCAAACAATGCTAATATTGACATTCTTGTTAATATTTTTATGGTGCATAATTTAAAAAAAAGATTTATTTTATTTATTTAAAAGGCAGAGTTACAGAGAGAGAGTGAGAGATATTGTCCATCTGCTGGGTCACTCCCCAAATGGTCACAATGGCCAGGGCTTGGCCAGGCCAAAGCCAAAAGCCAAGAACTATGTCCAGGTCTCTCACACGGATGCAGAGACTCCAGTGCTTGAACAATCTTCTGTTGCTTTCCCAGGTCCACTAGCAGGGAGCTAGATCAGAGGCAGAGTAGCTAGGATTCCCAACAGTTGCTGCAGTATGGGCTGCCAGCATCATAAGCCACTGCCTGACCCACTGAGCCACAAAGCCAGCCCAGTGCATAACTTCTGCAGTCTTCTCCATACATTTTCATATCCTCACTGAGAGATGTGGTAGTTGTTCTGTTACTGATTTTGTTTAGTTTTATTTTTTGTGGTACTTAGAGTACTGCTTGGAAAGGGTATAAATCTATTGTTGAAGGAAGGGAAAGGCTTAGGGAAAGTTCCCTCTGTGATTGAAGAGAATTTGGCTCATCATTGCTCAATCTACCCTTCTTCCATCCCTCTCCCCTCAAGGGCCAAGTTGTTGCCAAGCTTTGTTTGCTAGGCCAGAGAGCCAAGTGAGACCAAAGAAAAGGGCAATGCTTATCAGTTAGTGATGGCCCTCATTCAGAGGTTATTAAATGGAATGTTGTTTGGAGCTGAATAGCATCCCACGCTGTAACAGCACTATTACAAATAAAGTCCCAACAAGGCTTAATTGTGTATAAAGTCACTAGCTCAGCAAGCTTGGTTATGATCCCATCTC